GAGAGAGAGAAATTTACTTTCTCCACAAAGAAAACAAAGGGGCAGGACCTCATAGTTGAAGCAAAGTGCCAAATCAATTACCTAAATATTTTGGCTATAATTAATTCTTGATAATGACTCTACTAGATTTAGAAAAACTAAATGAGCTGTGCTAAGCAGCACTGATAAAATTTTTGACTAACACATAGGAATATTGCAAAAAAGTATTTAGAAGTTGAAACAAAAATTTAAATTGAGCATATTTTCTAATATATACTTAAAATACTCTGGCATGACATGAGATGTTGGACATGAAAGGCATGTTTCAACATATGTATTAGGATACTTTTCCAGAGAAATTGTTCTGGATTCTAAAAAAAAGTAAAAAATTTAGGGCTAGAAAAAGGAACATTCATCTATTTGATTCAATCATCAAATTTTTATGTAAAATCCCCAAAACACAATGTTTTTACTTTAAATATTAAAAAACAATTTAGGGGCTATGGAAAACATCAACAATCACTTCTAATGTAAGAATGAGTTAGCAAGGTAGCAAAAGCAATAAAATCCTGACTTCCCTTAGAATGCCAAATTTGAAATTTACTCCTCTTTTTAAAGAAAGATGACTTAATGCTTGCATTAAGGGGGGGGGGGCTGCCCTTAGCTCAGTCGTTTAAGTGCCTGTTTAAGCAGACAGGAGCAAGATACAGAGGTTTTTTTTTTTTTTCTTTCTTTTTTTTTTTGGCAGAACCGGGGATTGAACTCAGATTCTTGAGTTTGCCAGTCAAGCGCTTATCCTACTGAGCCATCTCCCCGGTCCCAAGGATACAGAGGATTGATCCCCAGCTAGCCCTACCCTTCAGGCAGCCTGAGCCACCAAAAAAAAAGCATTAAGACCTGTTATACACGTGTACCACTCCCTATGATGAATGTTAAGCATGCACTAGTAAAAATGAAGATTGTAAAAAGAAACCGTAATACATGGGAAAGCAATGTTTTTTGCAAAGCTGTGAAACATGTTTGGAAAAGGGGATCATCATCTTTTTAAGACTACTAATTCACTAAGAGAAATTTAAGATTAAAAAGTTAATTCACTTTTAACAAAACAGAAATGTAAAAATACAAATTAATGTCTATTGCCTTTAAAATTAAAACAAGTATAAAAATTAATAAAATTTTCTATATTTCATTTTGAACAAGGGCATACAGGAAGGGAAACTCATGGAACGAGTAATGAGAATATTGGAAACAAAGGCTAGAAAAATTAGGAACAGGAAGACAAGAGTAAAGTAACACAAGGCATGGGGCTGGTGAGATGGCTCCGTGGTCTAAAGCACCTACTTAGAACAAGCTTAGCAAAGCACAGGGACCACGGTTCAATCCCCTAGCACCACATACCAGCCAGGCCCGCCCCCTGGTGGGCTGAGCTGGCCACACACACACACACACACACACACACACACAAAATTAAAAAAAAAAAACACAAGGCAGCAGAAGGACCATGCAAATATTGTCAATTCTTTTGTCAAAGGTTTAAAGGCAATTCAATGACAAAACTATTTTCAACAAATGGTGCTAAAACAAGTCATTTGTGTGCAAAAAGGCCCTAGATTTATATCTCACACATTGCATGATGATTAAATCACAATACATCACAAGTGTAAATCTTAAATACAAGTTTTGGTAAGCCCGAGGCAAGGCAGTCTGCCTTCCAGGTGGAGTAAAGCAGCAAGAGTAAAGGCTGCAGGATATGGCCCTGCATGCCTCTTTGTAGGTTCTGATTTTTGAGGCAGAAATAAGTGCTCAGAAAGATACACAGAATTTCACTGAAAATCACTTTAAGGAGAAAAATCTACAAGAATTCGGATTAAGAGCTGTTAAGTAAAGAAAAATGGATTAATTGAACTTTAACAACATTTAAAACTTTTGCTCTATAAATAACAATGTTAGGAGTGAAAATACAGACCACAAACTGCAAACTGGGAGAGGGGCTGGGGCGACGGCTCAGTAGAATAAGCGCTTCCCTGGAAAGCACAAGGGCCTGAGTTGAATCCCCAGTTCAGAAAAAAAAAAAT